TATTAAAAATTATATTTATTAAAAAAAAGTTGTTTTTTAAAAACAACGGTAATTGTCTATTAAAATATCAAAATTTGTTTAAAAATATTTAAATACATTATTTAAATTGTAAATTAATATAACAAAATTTGTCGGTCAAAAAAACTTTAACAAAAGTGTAAATTAAAGACTAAACAAATTTAAAAAAAAAACAGATTTTCTGTTTAAATATTTCCCTTGAAAAAAAAAATTATCCAAATTTTACGTAGAAATTAAAAATACAGAATATTGTGGAAATTAAAACAAAAAAGTAAATTTGAATTACAGAAACAAAAAGTGAAAATTAAAATACGTTTACAATCCAAAAAAAAGGAAAAGTGGGGATAATTTGACAAAAAACGGAAAATTGTTTTCGGTTAAAATTTACAAAACGTGGTTTATTTTCGTTAATTCTGCATGACAAAGCAACACAAGCACGTCATGTGTCTTTTGTGAAACGACGAAAAATTGTCAATGTGTGAGTGCAACGTAAAAACCGGAAGTGAGGAGTGTCCCAACGACTCTTTAGGATTTTTAAACAGCTATCATTCAAAAAGAAAATAAATAACCCTTTGAAATTATATATAGTTATTGGAATAAAAAAAAGTCTGCAATTTACTACACAGTGAATAAACAAAATTAAACGATTTTTCCGTTTCAATAAATAAATTGATTTCTTTGTGTGGCAAAAAAAAAAAAAAAGAGAAGAATATAGTGTGAAAAATAAAAAGAAAAACATTGGTGTTAATTGGGGAATTAAAAAATCATAGTGAAGAATTTAGTGAAAAATTAATTTCATGTTAAAATTAATATTGTGTCGGTTAAATTTAATTTCTACTCTTTTCCCTCTAAATGAGAGGGAAGAGAATGTGCCTAAAGGAAATGGACGAGGATGAAGATGAAAAAGTCGTTAGCGCTATTCTTAATTATTTTACCACGAGGGTAAATCATTTTTATTTACATTTTCGTAACTAGTTGAGAATTTTTCTTTCAACTGTATTATTTTTTCGAGTGTTTTTATTTACAATTTATTTAAAATTGATTTATTTATTCAAAAAAATAATTTACAAATTTTGGATTCGATTAAATTTAAATAATTATAATAGTTCATTATTATTATTATTATTATAAATTTATTTAATTTATTGTTTATTTATTTTTTATTCATTTCATTTACTTTATGTTTTATTTCATTCACTTTATTTTTTATTTATTTACTAAAAAGATAAACGGGTTTATAAAATATTTAAATTATTTATAAATAAATAAATTTTGTATTTACATATTTCGATTTATTTATTTATTTATTTACAAGCTAAACGGACTTAAAAAAAAAGAAAGATATTTGAAAAGAAACGAAATTAAATTTTATATTCTTTTGTACATTGTTTTCATTTTCTTTGTTTGTTTCTTTAAATTTTCTAATCGTTTTCAGTTTAGAGAAAGTTTTTTGGAATAATTTGATAAATTTATAAAATAAATAAAGGAAAAATAATAAAAATGAACTGAAAATGGTAAAATATAAAGTGAAAGTTGTATTTATCGCGTAAATCGTTGTTGAGGGGAAAAAAGATACTTTTGTTTATAGAAAAAATTCAAAAATAAACTTGAATTTTTTTTTCAAGGTCACAAATAACTTTTACGCTTGACTCACTTTCGAATGGCATGTGTGTGCATTTAAAAAAAAATAAATGTTGTAAACGAAAGTATCCCCGACAAAAACCTTTCACTCGCAATGTAATTGAAAATATTTTCTGATTCCCGCGCGTTCAGTCAAGTGTCATCTTTTGCCCGATGGGTAATGTGCATAGAAAAAAAGATCCGCAATTTTCCCATTTTTAAAAGAGAAAAAAATTAATTTTTCAAAATTAATTTAAGAAAAAGAAATTATAAAATTAATCAATAATCTGTTCCCTTCTTCACAGTGAGTCACTTTGTATTTAAATTTTAATTGTATTAATAATATTTTTATAATATCAACAATTATGATAATTACAATATTAATTATATTTATTACATTTATTATTATTTATTATGTTTACTATATGTTAAGAACAACAATAATTATAATTATATTGTTGTTAATTTTATTTTTATCAAATTTTATTTCATTGTATTTAATTATTTTTTTAATGAAACACTTTTTAATTTAATAATAATGATAATATGTTAATAACAAATAATAAAAATAATAATAATGAAGTTTCTTTTTGGAATAAATAAAATGGAGAAATAAATTCTATACTAAATATTAAAAAAAAATATTAGGTGCAATTAATTTTGTTAAATATTTTAATAAAAATAAAAAAATAGTAGGTAACTAATTTTATTATAATACTATAGCAAATATTACGCGTGGAACGTGGTGTTTAATTTATTTTTGTTATGCAACTTACAAAATTTTTATTTTCAAAAATATAAATTTTTTTAAAAATTTCATAATCAAAATTTAAAAATACATACTTATTAAATACAAAACTAATTATTACTGTTCATATTTTCAAAAATTTTAATAAAATTTCATGAAAGAATTCAATTATTGTATAAAATTTTAATAAATCCTTCTAAACAGTTCAATTATTTTAAAAAATTTTAATAAATTTTCACGAAAGAATAATTATTTTCCAAACAATTTTAATTAAATTCCTGGGAAGAATTCAATTTTTTAAAAAAATTTTAACACATTTAAAAAAAATTCAATTTTTTCTAAAATTTTAATAAATTCTTCGAAAAAATTAAATTATTTTTAAAAATAGTAAAATTCTTCGCAATAATTCAATTATTTTTATAAATAGTAAAAACCTTTGCAGTGAAATTCAATTATTTTCAAAACAATTTTAATTGAATTCCTCGGATGAATTCAAATATTTTTAAATATTTACATAAATTTCAATTATTTCCTAAAATTTTAATAAATTCTTCGAAGCAATTCAATTATTTTGATTTAAATACTAAAATTCTTTGCAGGAATTAAATTATTTTAAATCAAATTTAAATAAAATTACACGAAAGAATTTAATTATTTTTATTTAAATTACTAAAATTCTTTGCAGGAATTAAATTATTTTAAATCAAATTTAAATAAAATTACACGAAAGAATTTAATTATTTTCAAAAATTTCCATAAAATTCAATTTCAACAAGAATTTAAAATTCTCTGAAAATTATTCAATTATTCTCAAAATAATTTTAAAAAATTCTATATAAAAATTGAATTGCTTTCAATGCAATTTTTAAATATATTCGTCAAAAAAATTGAAAGAATTCAATTATATTGAATATATATTTAATTTTAATAAAATTCTTTAAAGAAATTCAATTACTTTCGAAAGAACTTTAATTGAATTTCTCGAAAAAATTTCATTATTATCAAATATTTATATAAAATTCTTCATAGAAATTTAATTATTTTTTAAAATTTCAATAAATTTTTCGAAACATTTCAATTATTTTTATAAATAGTAAAATTCTTCGCAATAATTCAATTATTCTTATAAATAGTAAAAACCTTTGCAGGAATTCAATTATTTTCAAAACAATTTTAATTGTATTCCTCGAAAGAATTTAAATATTTTAAAATATTTCCATAAATTTCAATTATTTCCTAAAATTTTAATAAATTCTTCGAAGGAATTCAATTATTTTGATTTAAATACTAAAATTCTTTGCATGAATTAAAATATTTTTAATCAAATTTAAATAAAATTACACGAAAGAATTTAATTATTTTCAAAAATTTCCATAAAATTCAATTTCAATAAGAATTTAGAATTCTCTAAAAATAATTCAATTTTTTAAAAAAATTTTAACACGTTTTGAAAAAATCTCAAGTTTTTCTAAAATTTTAATAAATCCTTCTAACAAATTCAAATATTTTTAAAAATAGTAAAATTCTTCGCAATAATTCAATTATTTTTATAAATAGTAAAAATCTTTGTAGGAATTCAATTATTTTTAAAACAATTATTTTAATTGAATTCTTCGAAAGTTTTTGAATATTTTTAAATATTTCCATAAATTTCAATTATTTCATAAAATTTTAATAAATTTTTCTAAGCAATTCAATTATTTTGATTTAAATACTAAAATTTTTTGCATGAATTAAATTATTTTTAATCAATTTTAAATAAAATTACACGAAAGAATTTAATTATTTTCAAAAATTTAATTCAAATTTAAAATTCAATTTCAATAAGAATTTAGAATTCTCTAAAAATAATTCAATTATTCTGAAGATATTTCAATTATTTTTATAAATATAGTAAAATTCTTCGCAATAATTCAATTACTTTCATAAATAGTAAAATCCTTTGCAGGAATTCAATTATTTTCACAACAATTTTAATTGAATTCCTCGGATGAATTCAAATATTTTAAAATATTTTAAAATTCAAAGAAATTCTTCAAAAGAATTTAATTAGGATTTTTAAAAATTTTAATAAAATTCTTTGCGAGAATATTGACACAAAAATATTTATAAAAAAAAGATTGATGTTTATATTTTGATAATAATTATTTTACAATTAAATATTAAATGAAAAATAATACTTGAATGCATTAAATACATTTTTTTCGTTGATAAACGTTGTGGACTTCGACTTCGTAATTTTCAAAACATTAATTTTAAAATTAAAAATATTTGAAAACAAAAATTATAAAAATGTTAAGTAACAAAAAAGCAAACAACAACTAACTTCAAACTGCGAACAGATTACCGGAACGTGTACTTTATTATTGTTAATAATAATTTTCGTTAAAACCATTTTTTGTAATTGTTTTGTAATAAAAAGACGCAAATTAGTCCTTTTAATTAGAGAATAATGACAAATTTTATTAATAATTTAAATAATTTTAATGATTAAATAATTGAATTATTATTTATTTTGTAGAATATTATTTTGTTGTTAAAAATATAAAAAATGTTTTGTTTAGTAAATTTGTTTTATTAACGAAAGAACTGGTTTCTTTTTTTTTTTTTGCAGAACTTCTTCTCGAAAAGGTCGTTCCGATCGAATCCGTTGAAGAGGACAAAAAGCGTGACAAAACTGGAGAGACAGAAACAACGTGGTGCCGGTCTCCGTGGTTGTCGATCGCACGAATCTCTTCTATGCGGTCAGGCCGTGACCTCGATGGATCTCGCCGCGGTCACACCGTTGCATCCAAGTCTTCTTGGACGTCCCCATTGTTTTCAGGTCACACCCAGCAATGGTGGACCGAAATATTTCAGCTGCAGAACTGCCCACGAGCGAGATCAATGGCTTCAAAGGTCAGTAAATGAAAAAGAAAATAAATTTTGCTGGCATTTTTAAATTTTTCTGTCAAACTTCGAAATTAGTGGATTTTTTCCGATTGGAAATAATTAAAAGAATTTACGAAAATTATGAACTTTACGAAAAGATTGAGATTAAATATGGAGATGATGTTCTCCACCTGAGAACGTCAAGGTCACCGCTAGATGGCAGTTCACAATTCTTGGAATTTTCACTGCCATCTGGTGGTGGCCTTGGCGTTCTCAAGTGGAAGAATTGAGCCACCATTTTATCGAACTTCAATTTAATTAATAAAATTTGATTGCTATTAATAATTTTTAAAAAATATTTTTCCACACACAAATTTTTCTTACATTTCATTAATTTTTTTCTTGTCTTTTTTCTCCAGTTTACGCAAATCGGTCCAACCGGATGCTGAGCAAACACGTCGCACGGACAATTCACTGCAAATTTGGTTATTAGAGGCAAAAGGCGTGCCAGTGAAGAAACGATATTTTTGTGAAGTTTGTTTGGACAGTACATTGTACGCAAGAACTACTGCAAAATTAAAGGCAGATCTTTGCTTTTGGGGAGAGCACTTCGACTTTCATCACCTGCCATCCGTTAACACCATCCAGGTGAATCTTTACCGTGAGGCCGACAGAAAAAAGAAGAGGGACAAAAACGTGTTGATCGGTAAGGGAAATCACGCCTTCCCCCCTTTTTTATAAAATTTTTTTTTTTTTTGATATACTCCATAAATTAAAATTTCCAAGTGGCAAAAAAATTCGAACCAACTTCATCTACTAAAACCTACTATTTGCTATTATTTAGATTTTTTTACACTAAACTCTACATTTTTCTTTAAGAATTTGCAACTATTTTAAATTCGCTAATTTGTTTGGAATAAAAAATTAATCTCCGAAATTCTAATAAAATTCTTAGAAACAATTAAAAAAATATTAATAAAATTCAGAAATTTAATTATTTGAAAAAAAAAATGTTAATAAATTTCAGTGCAAGAATTTAATTATTTTCATAAATAAATAAAATTCTTTGGATGATTTAAATTATTTTTAAAAAATTGTAAGAAATTTTTTTCCCAAGAATTTAATTATTTTCCCCAAATAATTGAATATTATTGTATATATTTTCAGGGTCGGTGAGCATTCCGGTTCATAATGTGACGTCCCGATATCTCACGGAAAAATGGTACACGGTCGTCGGCGAGAAGGGACCACTGAAAGAGCCACCGGCACTTCGTGTCAAGTGTCGCTTTCAATCGGTTGACATTTTACCGGTTCAGGTTTACCAAGAATTCCTCGAGTATCTCAAGACTGATTACGCGTCGCTTTGCGAAAAATTGGAGCCAGTGATTGGCGTCAAGGCCAAGGAGGACATTGCCACCGCTTTGGTCGCTGTCATGCAACGTGAAAAGAAGGCTCCCCAGTTTCTTGCCGATCTTGTCATGATGGACATTCACAGAATAGGTGAATATTCCTCTGGCCAAATATTTAGCAAGAATTTAATTTCAATTGAATTAAATTAAATTTAATTTAATTTAAATTTCAATTACAATTTATTTTCTGCAACGAAAGTTGTTTCAAACATTGGTAAAGACCAATTGGTCTTTACCAATGTTTGAAACAACTTTCGTTGCAGAAAATATATTCTTTTGTCATAAAGTGAAAACAAATTTGATAGTTTTTGACAGATTTGTAAAAACAAGAGTTTTTTATAAATTCAGGTTTGCCAGAGGTCAGGGAAATCAGGGAAAAGTCGGGGATTTTTATTAAAAGTACTGAAAAAAATTTAATTCGTAGAATTCATAAGAAAACTCTGAATTTTTTGTGACTTTTTCCTTTTTTGTTTGCGTCATAAACTATAAAAATTACCACGAGTTCTAAAACAAAACCTTCATAATTTTTTTCTAATTCTGATTAGAATGAATTTTTTAATATTATTTAATTATTTCAAAAGTATTAATGCAATTATTTTGATAAATAACAAAATTCTTTACAAAAATTCAATTAATTTTAGAAATTCAAAAAAAATTCTTTACAAAATTCGATTATTTTCATAAATAGCAATATTCATCACAAGAATTCCATTATTTTCAAAAGTAATAAAATTCTTCGAAGAAATTCAATTGTTTTCAAGTTTTTCGCAATTCAATGATTTTCATTAGTTACTATTTTCATAAAATTTATCAAATAATTTAATTATTTAAAAAAAAATTTTGATACAATTCTACGTAAACATTCAATTATTTCCATAAATGATAGAATTTCATTTAGGAATTCAATTATTTTCATCGCAGAATTTCCAATATTTTTAATAGAATTTTAAATAAATTTAAGATTTAAATAAATTCGAATTTAAGAAACATTCCATTATTCAATAAAATAATAAAATTCGTTGCAATAATTTAATAATTTTCATTAATAACTTTTTATTCGTCAAAGAAAATTAATTATTTTCAAAAATTTTTAAGTAATTCTGTAAATGAATTCAATTATCCTGATAAACAACAAAGTTTTTCACATAAAATCAATTATATTAAAAAATTTTAATAAAATTCTTTACAAAATTCGATTATTTTCATAAATAACAATATTCATCACAAAAATTCAATTATTTTCAAAAGTAATAAAATTCTTCGAAGAAATTCAATTATTTTTTAAAATATTAACGAATATCTCGTCAAGATTTCACTTATCTTTATAAATAACAAAATTTTTTGCCAAAAATTCAATTATTTTCTAAAATTTAAATGAAATTCTTCGCAAAATTTCAATTATTTTCAAAAGTTTTTCTCAATTCAATTATTTTTTTTTTTGTATTCTATTTTCATAAAATTTATCAAATAATTTAATTATTTAAAAAAAATTTTTGATACAATTCTACGTAAACATTCAATTATTTTCATAAATGATAGAATTTCATTTCGGAATTCAATTATTTTCATCGCAGAATTTCCAATATTTTTAATAGAATTTTAAATAAATTTAAGATTTAAATAAATTCGAATTTAAGAAACATTCCATTATTCAATAAAATAATAGAATTCGTTGAAATAATTCAATAATTTTCATTAATAACTTTCATTCGTCAAAGGAAATTAATTATTTTCAAAAATTTTTAAGTAATTCTGTAAATAAATTCAATTATCTTGATAAACAACAAAGTTTTTCACATAAAATCAATTATTTTAAGGAAGTTTAATAAAATTTTTTTCCAAAATTCAATTATTTCGATAATTATCAAAATTCGTCATAAGAATTCAATTCTTTTGAAAATTAATAAAATACTTTCCGAAAATTAAATTCTTTTCAAATTTTTTTAAAAATTCCCGTTTAGAATTAAATTTCTTTTTTTATAAATACATAGCGAAAATCTTCTCAAGAATTAAATTTATTGTCAGAAATTTGAATAATATTCTTGTCAAAATTTCAATTATTTAAAAGAAATTTAATAAAAATTCTTCTTATTTTTGTATTTAAATAATCGAATTCTCGTAGAATTTTCTAATAAAAATTGATTTAAAAGTGAATAATTTCAGTTAAAGTATTAGATAATAATTAAATATTACAAAAAGCATTAGGGGGGAATATTTAGAAATAATTGCATTTTGAAAAGGTTTCGAATTAAAATCTTTGATAATCAGAATTTTTCGTACTTTTAACTAATAATTCTGCGTAGAATTTATTTTATTTTATTATTAATTCACTGAGTTATCTTTAATTATTATAAAAACATGAAGAAATCGATTAAGTCTTCGACTCGGAGTGATCTACTTCTTCATGTTTTATAATAATATTCTTATAAGTTGTTGAATTTCAAAAAAGTTTGAATTTAAATGTTTCGAAGAATTTTAATTGCTACGGAAAAATAGTAATGAATAAATATTTATTGAAAAAAGAAGTTATTAATGTTTTTGAATAATTTTACTTTTAGAAAAATTCGCAAATAAAAGTATAGAACATTTTCGTTGAGTATCTAATAATTTTTAGAGTAAATCAGAATATTCTTGAAGGTCAGGGAAAAAGTCAAAATCAGTCAGGAAAAAGTTTGGAAATCAGGGAAAAGTCAGGGAAAAACGAAATTAAATTTTTGTGGCAACCCTGATAAGGAAAGAAGAAAAAGAGAGAGAGAGATAAAATTGTAGAATTATTGAGAATTTTATTGATATTGTCTAACGCTTTTTTTTTGGATACGTGTATTTTCCAGACGACGAGAGGTTGACCTTCAGGGGCAACTCGTTGGCGACGAAAGCGATGGAGGCTTATTTAAAATTGACGGGTGATCGTTATCTGCAAGAGACCTTGGGGGCAGTGGTGCGTGGCGCCGTTGAAGGTGGTGATTGTGAGGTGGATCCGATGAAGGTCGCCTCGGTAGCTGCACTTCACAAACAACAGCAAAATCTTCGCGCTGCCGTCGAACTCGCCTGGAGCCGGATACTCACCAGTCACGCCCATTTTCCACTCGAATTGCGTGAATGTTTCCGAATATTTCGCGAGAGATTGGCGGAAATGGGCCGCGAAGATATCGCCGATAATCTTATTTCCGCATCAATTTTCCTCCGATTCCTCTGTCCGGCGATTCTCAGTCCGTCTCTCTTCAATATTACTCACGGTAATATTCATTTCTATTATTATTAAATTAATTAACATTAATTAATTCCATCTGAATTTCAATACTTTTCGATTTTAATTTCAAGTTTCAATTTTGATATGTAGCTAAAATTGGGAGGAGTTTCTGTGTTTTCCCAGGAGAGTTGAAAAATTTTGCGTAGCAATAAAATATTCCGATAGATGGAAATTTTTCGCTAATTTATTTTCTTGTCGACTTTTAGAATATCCGAACGAGAAGGCGGCGAGGAATTTAACGCTAGTCGCTAAGACTCTACAAACTCTGGCCAATTTCACGAGATTCCAAGGAAAGGAGAACTTTATGGAATTTATGAACGATGTTCTGGAACGAGAGGCACCTTCAATGAAAGACTTCCTGCAACTGATCAGCGTGAGTTGAAAAATTAAAATGAAACTGGCACTTATTTACAGGGTTGCCACAGGTCAGGAAATTCAGGAAATTCAGGAAATTCAGGGAAAGTAAAATTGATCAGGGAAATGTCAGCAATTTTTAGTAAAAATACTGGAAAAAATTGAATTTTTAAAATTCATGAGAAAACTCTGAATTTTGATGTTATTTTGTTTGCCTCGTAAACTATAACATTCTCACGAATTTTGATACAAAATCTTCAATTTTTTCTATAACTTACAATAATTTCTTTTCGAATAACTTCATTTTTCAACAACTATCATAAAATTATTACATATAAATTATTTAATGAATAATTTTTACAATTTTCATAAATACTAGATTAATAGAAGAATTTTAGTTAAAAATACAAAAAAAAATTGAATTTTAGAAAAGTTACAAATGATTCCAGAAATTCAATTATTTTCAGAAGTTATAAAAATTCTTCGCAGAATTTCAATTATGTTCAGAAATTTAAAAAAAATTCTCGTCAAAATTTCAATTATCTTTATAAATAATAAAATTCTTCGTCGAAATTCAATTATTTTTATAAACTTGAATAAAATTCGTTGGAAGAATTAAATTATTTTCAAAAATAATAAAATTCTTCACCGAAATTCAGATATTTTTATAAACTTTAATAAAATTCGCGGGAAGAATTAAATTATTTTCAAAAGTAATAAAATTCTTGTCAAAATTTCAAGTATCTTTATAAATAATAAAGAATTCTTCTCCGAAATTCAATTATTTTAGAAAAATTGTAATAAAATTCTTGGGAAAATTTGAATTATTTTCATAAATAATAAAACTTATCGCAGGATTTTAATTATTTTTTATACAATTTTAATCGAATTCCTCAAAAAAATGTCATTATTCTTAAAAATTTTATTAAAATTTTTCAAAAGAATTCAATTATTTAAAAATTTGTTGATAAAATTCTTTATGAGAATTCAATTTTAACAAACATTTAATTATTCAACAAATTATTTATTTTTTAATTTAAATAATAATTGAATTCTTTTAGACTTTTCTAATAAAAATTGATTTAAAAACACTGAAAAACTGTTGGTAGAGCAGTTGCGCTATTGACTGTTGTGCAGCGCTACTTAACTTTAAACTCACAGCTCTATCAAAATTAGGCGAGTTGCTCTCCTAAACTTGACTACCAATGGCGTTGGCGAGCGGCTGCTTGACAAAAAGGGCAGCAGCTCTATCAAAAAGGAGAGTTGCTCGCCCAAAAAGGAGAGTAACTCGCCCAAAAATAAAGTGAGCTGTGCGTTTCTTTTTAACGCAGCAGTTCACCGCATTGGGCGAACAGCTCTCCTAACAGTTTTTCAGTGAATGAATTACCAAATAATCGATTTATTATTTATGTAAATAATTGAATTCTTGCAATGAATTTTATTACATTCTTTTTAAATAATTGTATTTTTTTGAGAAATTTTACTACTTGTAAAAATAATTTAATTCTTGCGAAGGATTTTATTAGGATTTATTGTAAATAATTAACTTTTTTTTGAAAAATTTTGTGGTAATTTAAATTATTAGAAAACATGAAGAAGGCGATTACTCCGAGTCGAAGACTTGGAGTAATCGCCTTCTTCATGTTTTCTAATAATATTCTTATAAGTTGTTGAATTTCAAAAAGGTTTGAATTTGAATGTTTTGAAGAATTTTAATTCCTACGGAAAAATAATAATGATTAAATATTTATTTAAAAAGAAGATGTTTTTGAATAATTTTACAATTAATAAAATTTGTAAATAAATGTAATAGAACATTTTTTTGAGTTTCTAATAATTTTTAGAGTGAATCAAAATATTCTTTAGGGTCAGGGGAAAAGGCAAAATCAGTCAGGAAAAAGTCTGGAAATCAGGGAAAAATAAAATTAAATATTTGTGGCAACCCTGAATAATAATAATAATAATAATAATAAAAATAATAAAAGATAAATATTCTCTTCGTGATAAAACTATATGTGAATTCAGGGTTCCTACAGAATCTGGAAATCATGGAAATGGTATGGAATTTTTAAAAGGCTTCTGTAAATCAGGGAAATCATGGAAAAAGTCTGGAATTTTTAAAAGTTTCTAAATTTTTCCTGTTTTCCATTTTTTCTCTTCAATATAAATTCAATTAGAAATTTTAAGATATAATTTATATTATACAACGTGGAAATTAAATTTAAAATTCCACTGGAATTTCCTAAAAATTTGACCTGGAAATCATGGAAAAGGTATGGAATTTTAAATTCGGATTTCTGTAGGAACCTGATGTGATGCTAATAAATTATTTAATTATTATTTAATTTTAGAAAAATAGAAAAAAAATACTGATAAGAGAATTTTTGCAGAGTCCACTTTTGAAAGAAACGTCGGCCAACAATTCGCTGGAATTCGACGGCTACATAGACCTTGGAAAGCAACTTTCGCTGCTGCACGCGCTTCTTCGAGAGAGTGTGGCCGCGACAGCGTCAACGTCTCCCTCCTCGCCTCCATCGCGACTCCCCGAAATACTGGACAAAATCTCAGCGGCTCTCGATCAACCGGGACCAAGTCCAATATCCACCCTCCATCGCTATCCGAATCTCCAGAACAATATATTTCGCTTCAACGATCCAACAATCACCAACAGCAATTCAAATCTCTCAATTTCCGCCACATCAACTTTGAGCAATCACAGCACCCTCAATGGCACCATTCGCGACAGTAACGAAGTCCTCCAAACAAATACCCTAGGACACAATAACACCAGGAGTCCAAACGTCGTCCGCGCCGCGACACTGCCACGTAACGCCTACCTCCCCACCAACGGCAAACTCCAGCTGCAAATCAACACCGACGACTATCCCCTAGAACCGCCAGCCTTCGTCTCAAGATCACCAACGCCAATCGTCCGCCAACACAGGCCCGTCATCAACAATCGCACCGGCGTTGGCTATCGACTCACAGCCAGCGCAAGTCTAGCCAACGTGAATCACTGCCAAACCCACCCAACAAGTCCCACACGATCCGAGAGTCACAGCAATCTCAAGGACTCCAACTACAACATCAACATCCACGGCAACCAAGTGAATCAACATCTCCGCCACAACATCACAAGGCTACAGAATCTCGACATTCACGATTCACGAACCGACGACACCTACAATCACAACTACAATATTTCCAAATCGTCGAATCGTAATCATTTCCACAAGGAGGAGAACGCGAATCAAACCCAACAGCAAAATTACAACAATGTCTCGAAAACGACAGTGAACGCAAATCCAACGACAAATCTCACCCTCTCGATTAATCATCACCTACCCAATAATAATTACACCAAAACAAATACAACAACAAATGGAAATCTCGACGATCTCTCCGATTTATTACGCTACGCCGACGACGAGGTCTCCGAATCAAAGTCCCAAAAAGGCTCGCAAATATCCATTTCACAATTGAGTAATGTCGCCTCATCGGGTTATCAGAGTTTCGCCGCCTATAGTCAAAGTTCAAGTCCAGTGGAATTGAGTAGCAATAATGCGAATACTCATATCATAAGTGCGGCGCCGCTTGCATTTGCAAATCCAGTTTATCATATGGAATCGAGTCGGAGTGGTCGTCGTGGAAGTAGCAGTTCCGAGGAGAGAGAGAGGGGCGTTGGTATTGAGACGGTTCGCGGTGTTGATTTGAGTCCATCGCCGCCACCGCAGCAAAATTCGAGGAATGTCATTCAGAGGAATGGACAGAATCAATGGCGGCAGAATAATACGGGACATCGTACGAATGTTGAGCAAACGCAAAATTGTTGCACTAAATTGAGACGACGTTTGTCACTCGATTCGACGAGGGATTTGTCCGATACAAGTGAGGAGGAGAATTGCGCCACGAGGAGGAGTAAATCGCGCAGTCATCGCAGTATCGATCAGGTAGATCAGGTTAGATCATTTTAAAGAGAAAATAAATTGGGGCGCTTGAAAATTAATTAAATATTTGTCACAAGTCCGTATTTTTTAAATTGAAATAAAGGAAATTTACGAATTAAATTTGAAACATTAAAATTAAAGAAAGTAAATTAAATAAATAAATAAAAAAGAAATAAAAATTAAACAGGGTTGTCAGAGGGGAAAACTATGTCAAGAGAATAAAAGAAAACTCAGAGAATTTTATCAAAATTTATTCAATTAATTGAAAGAGGATGAAAATAGAGAAAAATAGAATTTTCTTTCTCGTTTTGTTAAAGTTTTTATAATAAGTTAAAAATCACGAATTTAAATACAGTTCTTTCAATTTCTGACAATAATTGAACTTTGGAGAATGTTAAATTTATTTTAAATAATTCAATTCTTGAAAAATTATAATAAAATAAATTACTTATAAATTATTTAGCGAATAATTTTTCTTTAAAAATTTAGAAAATAATATTTAATTTTAGTAGAATTGCCTTTACAATTTTTTAAGAAACAGTGAATTTTAGACGCGAAACGAAGAATTTAATTTATTATTATCTATGTAAATTACAAAATTTCTTATTTTCAAATATTATTAAGTTACTAAATTAAAATATTCTATTAATTGAAAAAGGCTAAATTTTCAATACAAATTTTGACAAAAATTGAATTTTCTTTCTTGTTTTGCTAAAGTTTTTATAAATTAAAAATCACAAATTTTAATACAGTTCTTTCAATTTCTGACAATAATTGAATTTTGAAGAATGTTAAATTTATTTTAAATAATTCAATTCTTGAAAAATTATCATAAAATTACTTATAAATTATTTAGCGAATAATTTTTCTTTAAAAATTTAGAAAATAATATTTAATTTTAGTAGAATTGCCTTTACAATTTTTTAAAAAACAGTGAATGTTACACGCAAAACGAAGAATTTAATTTATTATTATCTATGTAAATTATAAAATTTTTTATTTTCAAATATATTATTAAATTATTAACTTAAAATATTCAAATATTCAATTTTTGAATAATTTATGATTTAAAATTTTTTAAAATTCATTTATTAACTAATAAATTATTATTATACATTATTTTCCAAAAATTTAAAATAAAATTCTTCAGAATAATTTAATTATTTTTCACAAATTTTAATAAAATTTTTCCTCAATAAAATTCGATTGTTTTCAAAACAATTTTAGTAAAATTTCTCGAAAGAAAGACATTTTTTAGAATTCTTCGCAGAAATCTAATTATTTTGGAAAATTTTAATAAAATTCTATATAAGAATTGAATTTTTAATAAAACTCTTGGCTGAAATTCAATTATTTTAAAATTTATTAATAAAATTCTATATTCAATATTTGAATTGTTTTCAATACAATTTTGTTTAAATTCGTTGACAAAATTTGCAAGAATTAAATTATTTTCGGAAAAAATAAAAATTTTTCAGAGGAATTCAATAATTTTTAATATAATTTTAATAAAATTTTATTCAAGATTTGAATTCTTTTCAATTAAATTTAATTAAATTACAAATTTTTATTAAATTTATTGATAAAATTTGCAAAAATTCAATTATTTTCGTAAAAAATAATTGAATTTTTCAGAGGAATTCAATAATTTTTAATACAATTTTAATGAAGTTTTATTCAAGATTTGAATTTTTTTCAATTAAATTCCATTAAATTACAAATTTTAATTAAATTTATTGACAAAATTTGCAAGAATTCAATTATTTTCGTGAAAAATAAAAATTTCTCACAGGAATTCAATTATTTTCAATACAATTGTAATAAAATTCTGTATTTTTTAGAATTAAATTGTTTTCAATGCAATTTAAGTTAAATTCGTTAATAAAAAAATTTGCAAGAATTCAATTATTTTCAAAGAAAAAAAAATTTCATTGGAATTCAATTATTTTCAAAAAGTTTAATAAAATTCTATATATAAGAATTCAATTATTTTAAATACACTTTTAATGAAATTTCTCGAAAACAATTGAATTATTTTTAATAAATTTTAATAAAATTGTTCCCAAAAATTTAAGTATTTTTATAAATAATTTCCAAAAAATAATAAAATTCTTCATATGAATTCAATTATTTTGAATATAATTCAACGAAAATAAATAAATCAGTTATTTTTATAAAGAATTGAATTCTTTAGAGAAATTTAATTATAATAAAAAATTTTTAAATAATTCTTTATAAGAATTTAATTATTTTCAGTAAAATTTTAATTGAATTTCTTCTAAACAATTTAGTTATATTCACAAATATTAGTCATTTATTAATCGTTTTAAAATTATAATTATAAAAATTATAAAATTACAATTTGTTTTAAAAAACGAAAAATTATTAAGAACACCTGATTTATTTTATATTTTTATTTATTGCCAATTTTGACAAACAGTAATTTTCAAGCACTCCAATTAAAAATCAAAAGATTGCAAATTTTAATCTTCTGTAAATATTCGTTATTTATATTTTCTCTAAATTATTTCCTTATCTATTTGTATAAAATTTTTCACTTATTTGTTTCTTGTATGAGCCATAATTTCTGAAGGTCCAAATGAACGAAATTTTTTACTTTTACTTATTTATTTTCATTTTTATATGAAAGAAAATTTTATAATTACAATTCACTAATAATTAATTATAATTAATTAATTATATAATTTTGATTCAATAGTAATTAATTATAGTTAATTGTATAATTATGATTTAATTATAATTAATTAAGTGTATAATTATAATTTAATTATAATTAATTAATTGTATAATTATAATTTAATTATAATTAATTAATTGTATAATTATAATTTAATTATAATTAATTAATTGTATAATTATAATTATATATGTAATTATTGAACAAAATTACTGGCTGCAATAGAAAGCAAAAGCGTAAATTAAACAATCAAAACCTTTATAATTTAATTTTTGTTACTGGCGACAATAAAATAATAAAATTTGTAATTCGAATAAGAAATAAATTTTTTTTATTTGAGTCTTTAGAAATTTAGGAACATTTTTTTTCTTTTTTAGTGATAAATTTTCTCTCTTGACAGATCATATAATTTGATGGTGCCAATGATCATGTTAATAACAAAACTAAAAATGAATTTTACAAACTTATAACAAAAAAGAAAAACGATCATTTTTTGTAAATTCATTTTATTTACTTTATCCATTTTATTCATTCTATTCATTTTGCTAATTTTGTTAATTGTATTATCATTGTCATTGTAATTATCATTATCATTATATTATCATTGTCATTATCATTATCTAATAATTGTTCTCTCTTTTGTAACTAACAAAAAAATTAATTTCCAGTACGAGGTGGAAATTGAAAGGCTACAGAGCAACGTGGATCGTTTGCGAGCGCGATTAGCCGCCACTGATGATACGGAATTAGATGGCATTGGTCCCGATACAAAAATGAAGAGCATCATCTCCAGGTATATCATCATCATCATCATGATCATAATTCTCTATCTCTCGCAATTACGCTAGTTATATACGAATCTTTGCCTGAATGTCATCATCTCTGCCGCGGATCAGAATCGTTTTCTCTTGTGAATTTTTTTTTTCTCTTTTCAACATTCCTTTTTTATTCCATCTTTTTTTTTATTTTTCTTTCTTATGATTTTTTTTTTTTTTTGCAATTCTCGACACTTTTTTTGCTCCAACTTTAGGACCTGCGTGATCATCGAGGAGTTTTTGAATTCTGTGGATATTTTTGATTTCTGTAGTTTTGCAAAATTAATGACTGCGTTTTATGATTTTTTTAGAGTTTTAAAATTGGATCTCATTTTTGTTTTTATTGTGAGTTGTGCAATTTTTTGATTGTTATAATCAAGTGAAGACAATTTCGATTAAATTAAGTTTCTATATTATAGAAAAACAATTAGGAGTTCTATAAGTGAATTTTCTAGCGCTTTAGGATTGAAAATATTTTTTTTTTTACTTTTATATTCAATTTTTATTTAAATTTAAGTTCGATTATGAATTTACGTTATTTTTTACTTCTATTCGAGGAATTCCGAATTTAGTTTCAGCGTTTTTTGTCAAATTTCGCATGTGGAGAATTTTATTTTTCTGTATAATATTATATTCGGAATTTCCTGTAATAAATTTTGTAATTTTGCTTTTTAATTTTGTAAATTCTGTAAATTAATTGTAAATTTTTAGTTTAGTTTTGTTTAGTTTAAGTCTTAATTTTTGTAATAATTAAAGAAGGAAAATATAAATTTATTTTTCGAGAGTAGAAATTGTGAATTTAAATAATAGTCGAAATATTTAGTAATTGTTAATTTAAGTGGTAGATTTTTTTTTGGGTTTAATTTTTGTTTCTCTTTCTCTCTCTTTTTCTCTCTTTTTTTAATATTTTTTTTCTCAAGTGAAAATCCTAATCTAATATGTATGTTTAATTGATTGTGTGTTCCTGTGCATTCTTTCCGCTGCTTGATCTGGATCTTGGTGTAAGAGTCAATTATATTTCTAAGCTTTTTTCTACGTACACGACTTTTTAGCCGTTGATTGTATACTTTCATTTATCGCGCCAGTTCCACTCGCTTGATTTAAAAAAAAAAGAAAATTATTTTTAAAAAAACAGAAGAAGAAGAAACGATCTGGTACTCATCGCTTCTGCCAATTGGACTCATCAATCCTTGTCGCTAATTATCTATATATTCACGCTCAACACACTTCATTGTCGAAATTTATTCACGAATAATCACAAAATTATAATTAATAATTAATTAATTAACACAGTCGCAAAAAAATATTTTACGAATAATTTGCACCAGAAATGTTACTGCTTTTTTTTAGTTGCTATTTTTCCAGTTTATGCGAGGCTGAATTTTGCAGTGAAAATTCGCGAGTTTAGTCAAAAGAAAAAAAAAAGTATTTTGCAATTTTCAGCTTTATTTTTGAAAAATTCTGCTTCCCCTTTTAAATATTCAGCGAAATTGCAAAAAAAAGGAGGATTTTTTTTGCAATTTGAATAAAATAAATTTTTTTCTACAAAAAATGATTCTAAAGTATTTTTTGTTTCTTTTTTTTCATAATTAGGTTAATCTCTGTGGAGGAGGAACTACGTCGCGAACAACAGAAGATGTCGGCGGCATTGTCGTACAAGCAGCGCGTGATCGACGCGCAGGAACAGCAAATAGCTGCCCTGGATGCGGCAAACAATCGCCTTATGTCGTCGAATACAAGACTGTTGTCCGCATTAACCTCCCTCAAGCAACGCTACAATACCAAGGCCCAGCCCAATAATGAAGCAGCGTCACTTCTTCAAAATATCGCCGATATCGGCGAATTAAAAAGCTCCTCATGTTGAGCTTTTCACGAGAAGAAGAAAACGACGAAAAAAAATAGCTCTCGATTCTTGTAGAATTTTCCAAATATTTTATTAATTTTCACTTTTTTTCTCATATCTGGAGAACGATATTTTTTCTCCAGTCTTTTTTTTTTTGTATAAATTATGTTAAAAAAAACGTTTGTTAACTAGGTTTATAGAACCTAGAAATTAGAACTTACGTTCTTTCGTTCTGGGAATGATTATAGAAAAAGAAATTGTCTCATTTTATATACACTTTTTAAAAAATTATTTATTCCAAGGGGATTTTTTTTTCCCGAAAAAGAATTTTTTTTTGTTTTTATCTTGAATTTTGGCAACACAATGAGACAATTATTGTTTTAATGTTAATTCAATTTTTATTGAATTTTATTTTTAATTTTTTTTTTATATCGCCGACGTGTTTAAGCCTCGACAATTTTTAGAGGCTACCTGTGAAATTATAAACAATAGGTAGAAACGATTTTTGTCAATTAGAGTTAGGCACATACGACTTTTTGAGATTTTTTGCGACCGTCCTTTGAGTGACACAATTCGTTCTACGTAAACTTGTTGTCGCGATTAATACAAGTGAACAAATGATCTGTTGGAACAAAATTTGCTTTTAATTACAAAAAAAAGAAATTTAGTCAAATTTTGATAAAAAGAAAGGAAATTTTTTTTCTTTTTTGGAAAATTTCATTTATCCAGCTAAGAATTATATATTATATAGTCAGTGAAAGAATGTTTTGTTGTATATAAATATATTTAGCACCTATAACGCACAATATTTCAATATTATTATGTCGTTGAATCTCCGTAATATAAACATGTAAAACTTAATACTCAAAAGAATTTTCCATGATTTAGCAAAGCAAATGTATTAAATTTTTATTTTTCTTTCTTATTAAAAAAAAAAGCGAAATTATAGAGAGAGAAGATTCGACTCGGAATTTAGGGACAAAACAAATGAAAATAATCGTCTCGATCAAAGCGAATATACTCTAAATGCGATAAAAATATTTATTTCGTAGTTGTTACCAAAGATAAAAGAGAATTCTTCCTTGTAGATTTAGCAGAATTTTTCCCTTTATTTATCGATAATTTTATACAAAATTTGTAAACATTTAATTTAAATTAGGATTTAAATTAAATTACGATTGAATCGAAATTGAGATTAGATTCAAATTAAATCCTTAGGATTAAATTAAAATTCAATGTTTTAATTTAATTTAAAAATATTTAATATTTGAATTTAATCGTCTATTTTCAAATTTTGAATGGGTAAAAATTTTGCTAAATTTTCTCTATAGAATTGTAAGGAAAAAAAAGTCGTGTAAGATATTTCACTGCCTGTGTCATTTTTCAATTTCATCGGACAACTTTTTTAAAGAATTCTTTATTATTGTATTATTATAATATTATAATTAAAAAATATTAAAATATTATATTAATAATAATAGTAATAATAATAATAATAAATAGAATATTATAAATAAAATAATATTAAAATATTGCAAAAAAAGAAAAATTATTACTAAAGAATTCTTTAAAGAGTTTCTTTTCATTTACACAAGTTTTTTTGAATGTCTTTCTTCTTTTTATTTTGGAAAATAGAAGAAAAAAGAAAATAAGGCATAATTGTAAATGAAAAGTTTTCATTAACCGGCAAAAAATATTCTTTTTTTGCCGAACACAGTGCGCGTACCGCATGACATTTAGCGTTTAATCGTTTCAAATGCTGTTTTCTGTTTCTTTTTTGTTTATGCAGCAAAATTGTTATAAGATTTTTTTTTAGTGTATGGTAGCGATTATCGTACAAGACGTGAATCTCGCAAGTGTCTGTGAGTGTTTGTCGAATAAATGAGAGGGGAAACATGAAAATAAGAGAAACGATGAATGAATGATTTTTGTAGTGTGTAATATCCTCCCCTTAAAATTAATAAAAAAAAAAAAAAGAAAAAAGAAAAGTATTATCTTGACGACTTGTACAATAGGATGTGTTAAATTTCTAAGGAAATTTTCATCGATAGTGTTTTTTCTGTTACAGATTATTCTTGTATAGTAGAAATTACCAAGTCCTTCCCCTCTTTTTGTACTTTTGTCACGCAATAATATCCTTTGCGTTTGAATAATTCAAATGCAAAGTGCGTTATGAGAAAATTAATATATAATAATGCCACCAATCATCGGAAGATGTAATCGATTAAGATAAATATTCTATTTAAAAAAAAAGATCAATCAATAGTATGTACATTAATAAGTTTCCTATATTCTTTCTCTGTAATAGAAATCCTGTATTTAAGCGTATAGCAATTACTAGTTCATCTTGAACAAATAAATATAATTACAAAAAACCTTATAACATATTTTGTCAAGTAATTTATAAATAATATTTATTTTCATTTGAAAAAATTAATTATATTGATTTTTTTATTTATTTGTTTGGGAAATATTATTAAAAAAGAAAGAACATTTTTTGTTCAATCTCTTTTAAAGAGATAATTTTTTAATCTTTTATTTCTTTTTTAAAAATTATTTATTAATCGAAAATTAAAGATAAATATTAAAATAATAGCTAACATTTTATTAATAATATTTTTAATAATAATAAAAATAATAAAAATAGTAATAATAATAGTTAATAATTAATAACAACAATAATAAAAATATTTAATATTTATTTAATAATATTTAAGATTTAATATTTAATTAATATTTATTTTTTATTTACATATTTACTGACTTGGAATGATCGTTAAATTCAATGTTTTATTAAATAATTAAAACAACCGAGTGATAAAATCAAATACTTTAATAATAAAAATCATAATAGGAAATAATTAATAACAATAATAATACTAATAATAATTTATAATAAAATATTCATAATAACAATATTAATAATATTAATAATAATAATAATAATAATAATTATTATTATTATAATAATGTGTACTAGCATATAACGACTGAATGTGGAAATTTTCAAATTTTTGAATTTGAATTTCGCGGGCGTGTGAGAGCGACGCTCAACATGCGCAATGCATTCTGGTTCAATTCCAGTTTCGCAAGTAGCGCGCCGCAAAGCACATGGTGCTCTGTAATTTTCTCTCATAAAAATTTATTTTCATGTTAATAGCCTACAAATTAATATTCGAAATATTCTATTATTGTTTCCGAACAAGATTTTCGTAAAAAAGGTATTAAATTATGTTTTTTTTTGTTTCAAAAGAGTTGAAAAATTGGTCAAGTCAAAAGTGATGTTAGGTTGCCATGTTCAAATTCGTCTAAATACCCGGAGTAGCTTTCTGATTGTTATTTGGTCACGTGTTTTTCGCGTTATTTCATTAATTTAACATTGTCGTGAAAATATTACAGTAATTATGACGGTAATAATTGAGATTTATTAATAAAATTCGTATAATGGAAGGTACGCGTCGAACATGTCTCTTAACTCGGCAGACTCGGCATTTTACAATATTTGGAGTAAATTGGAGTCTAACAATTTTTTGTTTGTCTCTAAAGTAGGTGAAGATTTGTTTCACTTGGAAAAATTGTTCAATTATAAAGTCCTTGAGTAAAATCGAATATTAATTGAGAATTTTAGTTGAAATTTGATAAATTGTCGCGTGGTCGCGGTTGATGGCAACTTTTGGCGCGCTTTTCTAGAAGCACTTGTGCGCCATCTGTTGGAAAGTGAACGAAACCGATAGTTGTTTTTTTTCCTTCTGTTGGTAGCTCTTGTTTTGTACTTTAATTTTCTTTGTTTTTCATCAAATGTGGAAAAACGTTTTTTTTTACAAATTTGATTCATCTGATGTTAAATGAATTTGAAATAAATAACATAATCAAGTATCCTTCGGTTCGTGAACATTGAGACAAAGACAGTAACGGAGTATTTTTCAATTCTTTCTCGGTTTAAATTAGTCTACAGTGACGGAAATATTACAATGGTGGAAAGACTGTAATTTTTAAATTTAAAATACCTCGCAAAGGAGATTTGTGTAAAAGAGACAAAACAGTGAATTGTGATTGTGAATCTTGTGAATCCTGTGAATCTAAAGAATTGCTGCATAAGGAAAGCAAGAATAGTGTAAACAAGTATCAAATATAGTGCCAACAATGGAATTGGTGGAAAACAACGATTGGATTAAAGGCCCGAGGAAAAGAAGGAACAGGAGAGGACAAACAACAAGAACTTCTAGGTTAGTTATTGAATATAGTTTTCAACAAAAAGGTTAGAATATTAAGCCTCTGAAAAAAGGAACAAAAAATGACAGGTTATGTTTACTATTATTTCATATTTTAATTAAGTCTTTATATTTCTAAAAACAAAAAAAAGATTTTATGGAATATTTCGGATATAACGAAAACTAAATATAAAATTAACCTGAAGTGTAGGTAGTAAAATAAGTGAAAATTTTTTTTCCACTTCTGCTAAAAAGTTTTATTTCCTATTTCTTTAATATAGTATTGAAATTGATTATAAAATAATAATTATAATTTGATTATTTTATAAATTATACTTAAATAAAATTAGACTTAAAGAAAAATATTTCAGAAACATTATCATTAAATTAGAAAACTAGAGATAAAATTAAAAAGAAATAAATATTTATTCAAAACAAATTTTTCACAAAAAGTGTTGTTAAAATTATTTCGAAAATATTTCTCTCTTGATTTCGAAATTTATTACATAGTTTTTTTCTGGGTTTTGAAGAATTATTTGTACAGGCCTGCTGTATGTATGTAACTGAGATTCTCCACGTGTCATCACTTAATGTGATTGTATAAAGTTGAGTTGAAAAAAAGCAGGAGTCCGACCTTGATCGTAATTTCGCGGTCCTGTTATACTACTATCACGTGATAATGACATCCTGACCTTGATAATTACATTTCTTTCTTCTCAGCATTTGCCTCGCAAGCTCATTCTCATATGCTAGAAACAAAAATTGTTTAAATTATTTCAAAATAAATATTTATAATTATTATATATAAAAATATTGAATAATATTGTGACATATAATATTACAAATTAGATAATATTATTAACTTATATTTATATATATTATTATTTAAACATTAAAACAAATTGAATTTTGAAGTAATTACAGATTATTGGAGAAATTCAATTATTTTCAAAAGTATTAAAATTCTTCACAGAAATGCAATTGTTTTCAATAATTTTAATAAAATTCTTTATTATATTAATCTTTCTTATATTAATCACGAGAATAAAATTATTTTCAAGAATAATAAAATTCTTTTCAGAAATTCAATTATTTTCAAAAATTAAAAAAAATTCTTGTCATGATTTCAATTATCTTTATAAACAGCAAAATTCTTTGCTGAAATTCAATTATTTAAAAAAAATTTAATAAAATTCAACACAAACATTTAATTTTTATCATAAATAATAGAAATTTCACAGGAATTCAATTATTTACAAATTATTTTTATATATTGTATATTATAAATATTATTTTCATAAATAATAAAACTCAATGCTGAATTTCAATTATTTTTAATACAATTTTAAATTTTTAATGGAATTCCTCGAAAAAAGTTATTATTCTTAAAAATTTTATTAAAATTTATGAAAGAAATATTATTATTTTAATAAACTTAGATACAATTTATTTATTAGAATTTAAGTATTATTTACAATATATTTTTAATTAAATTTCTTTAAAGAATAAAATTATTTTCAAAAATTTTAATGAAATTCTTTGCGTAACAATTTAATTATTTACAAAATAATTTAAATAAAATTCTTCGCAGAAATCCAATTATGTTTAAAAAGTTACAAAAATTCTCGTCAAAATTTCAATTATCTTTATAAATAATAACATTTTTCTCCGAAATTCAATTATTTTCAAAATTTTTTATAAAATTCTTGGCAAAATTTCAATTATTTTTTATACAATTTTCATCAAATTTCTCGAAAAATGCAATTATTCTTAAAAATTTTTATTAAAAACCGCCGAAAGAATTCAATTATTTAAAAATTTGTTAATAAAATTCAATTTTAAGAAACATTCAATTGTTTAATAAAATATTTATTTTTATAGTTAAATAATTGAATTCTCGTAGAACTTTCTAATAAATATTGATTTAAAAATGAATTTCAAATTAAAATCTTTGAAAATTTGAACTTTTCATACTTTTAATTAAGAATATTCTATAAAATTAATTTTTCTCAATAAAGTTTGATGGAATTTTTTTTAATTATTTCAAGTTTTTAATTTCTAATATATTTTAATTGAAGAATGTCAGAATAATCGATATTTCCTAAAATTAAATTGTAAACAAAAAAATTTGAAAATTTTCAAAGAACTTTTTTAAAAATTATTTTTAAAAAAATTGACTTAAAGAAGAATTTTAGTTGAAAATTCTAGAAATAAATAATCGTAATGATAAAAATAATTTTTTAAGAAGTTACAGTAACAAAGTAGCAAGTTGTAATTATTCTATATGTTATTGAATTTCAAATTTTTGAAAATCTTAATTTCTATTAAAAAAAATAATGATTAAATATTTATTTAAAACTGAAGTTATTGATTATGTTTTCGAATAATTTTCGCTTTAAAAACCTGAAAAAATTCCGTTTTTTAACCTGGAAAACCTGTAAAAGTTGGGGAATTTGAAAAGAGCAACAGCGTGGCAACCCTGTTAATTAAAGAATACAATTATTTCTGGACTCAATTTAGAATTATTGTAGTCGATTTAATAGTTTTAACCATTTAATTTATAATTTTTTAATTCAATTCTTTATTATTAGACAATTATATCGATTCAAAGATTTCGAAAATTGATTTTTGTCAATTATAATATTTTTATTAATAAAGGAACACTTTTGTACAATTTCGGGAATCATTTTGCAATTTTCAAACAAGATTTTGTTAGCTTCCAATTTTACAATTTCTAAAATCAATTTTTAATTATTATCAATTTAAATATTTGAGAAATTCATTTTTGGCAATTGTAAAAATAATTAGTAGTAATAACTCTCTCGTTTCCGGTGCTAATTTGATTGATTTCAATTTTATAATTTTGGCAAAGATTTATAATTTCTAAAATTATTTTTAAATTATTAGACACAAATATCGATTTAAAAATTTCAATAATTGATTTTTGGCAATTGTAATATGATTTTTAATTCAAAAAGCACTCGTATTTTTTTTCTTGCATCATTTTTAATCTAAAAATATATAAGATGTTTCGGAAATGTTTAATTTTTGAAGTGGTTAGAATTTTTTTTTGCATATTGTTGCAAATCCATGCGAGAAGTTTAACAAAAATTTCTTGTTATTATTGGAATTATTTTAATAATTTTTATCATAGTTATTGAAAATATTT